TGTCTCTTTGGGTTCAGGAGGCTAACGAATGATTTAAACTTCTGTGGGAAATCTATGTCATAACTCACAAGGTAACTAGAAACCCCTTTTTATCTTCCAGGTCATTCAGCTGTTTCTGCGTCGACCCAAGTTTTAGACAGATTTCTAGGGAGGTGCACGTCAGGTGATGGCGTAGGGTTAAAAGGGGTTTCTGGTTACATGATATGATACATCTGGCATTATAGTGTCAAGTCAATTACAATTCATTTATACAGCGCTAGTTGACAACACACTTGTCTTAAGGCTCTTGCTTCTGAAGGAAAGTTTCATTATTCCAGAAAACAGTCTGGCATAAAGTGTACACTAACCTTTCCAGTGCTCTGGAGAATGGTTGTCCTAGTCCTCCAGACCCGCTCTCTGCTAACAATATCCCTGGTGACATCCACTTCTGCATCCACAAAGCTTCTCTGCTTCAGTGTTATGTCATCATCGAGATCTGTTTTGATAGTTGAACGCTTCTTGGCCATAATCTTTGCTTTAATGGCTGCAATTTTTTCCACAGACATGGCCTCAGACAGTGATCTGGAAGACATGAACAAACGTTTTGATAAGCTGAACTATCTGTTAGGAGGAACTGGTCATCAGAATAAGGAAAAGCTCATAACCAGATCATACCTGATCTGTTCGATCTGCACGATGCCTTCTTTATGGCCCTCCAGACGGGCAGCCAGACGCTCCTTGTCCAGACGCACACGTTCCTCATCCTTGAGATTGAAAGCAGTTTTCACATTATTAGCAAATTGCAGGATAAAAAATGATATCATATCAAAAACCTTTAACTGCCCACACTGCTGAAATTTGTAAAAGTTAAAATACTCAGACTCTGTCACCTGCATGCATGACACACAGTTACCCATTTTATATTCAGTTACACTAAACACTGAAGAATATTTAATGAGCTGCGTTTCCCACTATTTAGAATCTCAAAGTTAATTCTTTTAAATATTTTCCTTATGGAATTATTTTTAAAAAATACATTATTATTATTATCATCATCATCATGATTAGTAGTGGTAGTATTTTCAGGTGTTGGGAGTGGTCCACATTTATCACAGTAAGAATATGTAAACAAATTCAATGTTAAGTATGTCAGAACAGGAAAACTGAATTTCTGTGTCCTGTGTGATACCACACAGAAAACAACATGAGCCACATGTGGCAGCTGAAGTAGCATAATTTACCTCAACTCTTGGTTTTTTGGCTTCAGAGGATGCCTCATCAGCTGCTCTTTTAACTAAAACAAACAAACAAACAACAATAACAAAGAAAGAAAAACAAACAAAAAAACGTTGTATCACTATGCAAAACAAATTCCTTCATCCCACTTACGCAAAACTGTTTTTGTAAAAATAGGACAGTGTATGTTGCATCACTGATATCAGCACTAGCAGTTATAAGTAGTAATTATTCCTGAAATTTACATTTCAGGATTAAGTTATGAAACTAAACTCCACATCATGTTGTAAAAATGCTGCTACTTTACCTTGTGTTGGCCTTTGCAGACCTATTTCTATGGGCGCACTTCTGTCGATGCTTGTTGACGTGGCTGCAAGTGGATAAAAAGGACATTTTAAGCAAATTTTCAGTGAACCAAAACCTGGAAGAAATCATTACAATTTTGGAAAATGCCAAAGGCTGTACTAGATGCCACAGATCACCCCCATCCTCAGCGTCCAAGTGTTACTTACAGCTCTCGCCGTTAAGATATGACAGCAAGCCCTTTCGATCAGGTCGTCTGACAACAGGGATGTTCTCTGTCTATAAACAACACACAATCATAAAAGTCAAAACTCTTTAAAGTTTACAAGATGCTGCATGTATGACAAATTGTGGGGCTGGAATCAGGGGTGTCTCAAATAACACGTTGGTAAGCAATGAAGGATTTATACTGACAGATTCTGGGCTGTTTCATATGAACTCCAGAGCACTTACTGCAGCTCTTCGCACATAGGATGGATGCGGCAGGTGCACATTGTTGAGCAAGAACAAGATAGAGTCCAAGGTATAGTACTCTTTGGGCTGCCCCTCTTTACCAGTACTAAAGATCGAAACAAGCACAAAACATTTTTAAAAAAGCATGCAAGTGTCCAGTTTTACAACTAACAAACTTTAAGTGAATTACTGCGTGATGCACACTTAAACTGGTTTGATGTGAACCGCATTAAAGCTTGAATATAAAGCCAAAGTTACTTTATCAACCACTGTCAACAATTCTCCTGCTAGCTAAAGCACTGCTAGCTGCAACCTTAATTTCTGCGTCACATGCACAAAGTTTGGTTTTTGCACGGTGAAGAAAGACGTTTATAGTCATGACTGTAGGGACTAAAAGAGAAAACAAACAAACACAGGTGTTTCAACTCGACTCTCTGAATCTCTGTCTCCGTGAAACAACTCGCTCGCTAGCTAGCGTCCATGATTAATTAGCATTACACAATACTACAAGTTTGGCTGAACCCCTCGCGACGTAAGTTTAAAAGACATACATTGGCTTTCATGGACGCTAGTAAAATTGGCTCTATAGTCTATGGAAGAGACCTCCCTGATGCACTAACAACAATTAAAAGGGTGCTTTAACTTTTGAGGAAAGTAGCTGGGTTAGCATTTCGTAGCTAGCGAGCCTTCCGTCGTTACTAGCAGCACAAGGCACAGATGAGCATCAGCTGCAGGCCTACTGAAGCACTTTGTAGATGTTATTAGCACTGACATACCCCCAGATTATGTAGTTGGTCTTGACATTCTTCGGCCAGGAGAACTCCCCAAATATAACTTCATCTCCTTTAGCAACAATCTCCTTTTTCTGGATGTTA